GAAACAAAAACAAATGAGTTCGATCGTAACAAATAAATTATATAAAAAATGTTCGAATGGAAAATCGCAAGACACGATTTCCTTCAGTGGCATTGTGTTGAGTTTTCGTATTCTTTGGTGGGAGGTGAAATCGTTTAATAATGTTTTTCGGTAATCTTCACTTTGCTGTGCCAGTGAGCGGGTTGCACCTTGTGGACAATAGCAGCGCTATGATGATGGACTGGCACGGCATGATGTACCAAATCAGCATGGTGATGGACATCACCGTGGTGGACAACAGCAGCAGCATGATGATGGGCATCAGCGTGATGGACAACAGCAGCATGATGGTGGGCATCGGCGTGATGAACCAAACCGGCATGACGCAAAACACCGTCGTGGTGGACCAACTCAGCGTGATGAGTCAAATCACCGTGATGGGCAGCATCGCCATGATGCAATTCGGTGTGATGCAAATCGGCAGCATGATGATGTTCATCGACATGGTGGTTTTGGTGGACAACATGATGATCGACAACGGGATTGGTGTAGTGCAAGAAATGATGAGGTTCATGATGTACCACCTTGGTGACATGGTGGACTGGTTCCACTTTGTGGATGGGTTCATGTTGAATGATCTTGGCAGCGGGTGCGTTGTGCACATCAACAGCAGCCACACCATGATGACCAGCATCGTGATGGGCAACTTCCAAGGCGGCGTGATGATCAGCATGATGGTAGACGGGATGATGTTCAACACCGTGGTGTTCAAGACCATGATGGCCATCAACTACGAGACGAGCAGAGTGGCCAATGTGGATGCCATTGCTGTGATGGATATCAGCATGATGGAAGTCAGCTCCATGATGAACCAAACCATGATGTCCATCACCGTGATGAGGCAAGAGACCAGCTTGAGCTGAGGTAGCCAAAGCAAGAGCCATAACACATGAGAATACCTAATGTCGGAGAAGGGAAACACAAAAAAAGATGGTGTGAGTCAAAGTTTGTAGTTTTAATAAGGACATATGGAGGGAAAGGATTTGTCTTAAATGTCCCTTGAAAAATAGAAGTTGATAATGGGTATATAGGAAGGCATGAAACCATGATTTTGAATCCGAAATGAGTTTTCATTGGCAAATATCCATTGGTTGATGGGGTTACAGTTAATTGCCTATTCTTGGTGTATATTGTAGGACATGATATCCTTTTTAAATGCTATGGAGGTGGAGAAGGCAATATGAAGAGTTTTTTGTCATAGAAACTGAAGTCTCACGTCGATATTTTGGAACACGCCAACTTAAATTCGTTGATATTTTTTAAATATTTAGTTGCCGTAGCCTCATGGTTTAGGGACTGGGATTCGATCGAACGATGATATTTTTACTTGGTTAGTCTTTTTTTTCATTTAAATTGGTATTGAACTAGATTTCACTTTATATGTAGGTTTTACAGAACTAAATATGTTCTTCATTTAGCCAAAGGACATATTTTATTTTTTTTTTTTATTTTTTTTTCGTTAAGAGTTTTTTGTTTTGTAAACCAACTCCTTTTTTTAATATTTCACAACTTTTATTTTATTTGTACCTTCATTTTAACGATTTCACACTTAAGTTTGTTTAATCCCAAAAAAATAAAACTGTTTTGTTTTCTACGAACTCTTTGTTTGTTCGACGCTGAGTACTGAACTGATGTCTAATCACAGACGCCAACGCATTTAAATACTTAAATTTCGGTCTAAAATCGGTGGCGTTTTGTTTTTGGCCAAATTCAATTGCCCAACATCTGATTTCATTCAATTGGTTTACTGCCGCCGCCGTATCAATCGTAATATCCGTAATTACAAAAAATACAACTCACACAAAAGAAGCTCAGCTAAGCTAGGCTAAAAATAATCAAATATGCATTGCAACGAAATCGTAATAACAATTCGTACGTTCGTTGGTATGCGACTTAATTCAAGTCATACCAACGGAAGGGATTACCGTAGAAGTACTGTTAGTTAATTTACTCAAAGAAAGAAACGCACCGAAATAGTTGTTGTTGTTTTTATTGTTTCTTCACTTTGGCACCAAACAAAATCAAAAACGGCTTATGTGAGAAATTTATGAATGTTTTCTCAAGGTCATTCTTGGTGTACCTGAGCCATACTTGGTACTAAACTTTAACATAGAAAATGGTGACACACGTCTGCTATGTTATTGGTTTTGGGCAATGCGTATTTTGTAAAACTAAACCTTTTGAACTTTGATGCGACAAAGAACTACCATTTAGTCATTTACTGGGGGTTATACGAAATGGTGTAACTATGTTGTCTCCGCTAATTGTTTTAGAATGTGAAATAAACATTGTAACCACCGCGGATAAGGTTTTACCCGATTAGGAATAATATGTGGCTCAAAACTTAAATATCTGGTGACACTATTATAGAAATTTATAGGTTATTTAGAGGCTTGGAGCACTTATAGTATTATATATCAATAGATCAATACCGATGAGCTCATTTAGGATTTCTAGTGATCTTTTCCGACAAATATAAAACTCTTTATACGAGTTTTTTCAGGGTCCAAAAAGAACAGTTATTTTTAAAAATGTGAACAAAAAAATCTTCATGTTAGAGACAAGAGACACCAAAATTTCATATACCAATAGATTCGTATTGAGAAAATAATCTCAATTCCCATGCGAAGACTTATTTTTTAACGTTGATTTTAAAGGGGACCCCCAATCGCGATGTAAGAAAATTTTATTTAGTTTTTATACCCTACACAACTATTATATTGTTGTATGTGCTCGGATGCGGGAGTTACACCTAAATATTTACAGGTATCTCCGTATTCGTATATTATTTAGTAACCCATTATCACTCTAGAGAGCGGAACTATAGCGATGATGTTCCATGAGGTTCCAGGTATGGTCAAGGACAACGCCTATAATTTTCGGTGATGATCAGATAATAATTTTGGAATGATGTGGACCGAAAACTTAATTTTTTGTGTTATTTTCGAGTCGATCTATAGACCACAAATGAAAGCCGAACATCACAACACAACCCACGGTAATGGGAATCTGGACAATAGCTGGACTGAATACTCGTAATATTCGGAAAATATGTCAGTGTGAGGAAGAGGTTCTGTTTACCTCTAATCGGGCAAGAGGGTGCAACTATCACGAAATATAACCCAGGCTCGGAATAAAAATCCGCAGAAAGATAGAGTTATGTGGTAGTTATGTGGTATGTTTGCGTATGGTCGGCCCCGTCCGACTATACTGCTCCGCTCACTGGCTTTTAATTTCTTTCGAATCTACACTACTTCAAGAATGTCCCTACAAAATTTCAAGTGAAAATCTCAAGAACTCTTGAAGATATAGCCGATTTGTTGTGTCAGCGTCAAGTGACGGCAAATGTGATTCCCAAACTTTAAACGCATTTTTCTCGCAGCAGTGGTTTTACGAATGGCGGGCAAGAAAACTCAAAAACTAATAATCCAATCGGTTCCAAATTTTGACACGTTTTTCTGGGAGTGTATAGCTATCGTATGAACTAGGATAAAGCCAATATGAATAACTTCCTTATCTTAAAATAGGCGAATTTCCAAAATAAATATTTAAAGGTCCGCCATTTTGTTGATTTTTGAGCGAAGCCAATAATTCTAGTTTATACGAGAGCCAAACATGTACACTTTCTAACAACCTTGGAATTTCCGGGTTCCTATGTTCCAGTAAGGAGTTATCAGCCCGCCATCAAAAATAAGGATTTTTCTTTAATCACTAAAAAACAACAAAACAACAATCACACTTTGCAATTTTTTTCTTCTCTTTTAAATTTTCATTTATATATGTATATGTGTAAAGAAACAAAACTTAACATGTATTGGTATTCATTTACCAGCTCAATGAAACTCTTGAAAATTTAAAATCGCGAATGGGGGAGTTCCCCATAACTGTTAAAAATTATTGTTATTTTTTCCGTTAGAAATAAAAATCATTTTAGAAGTGTTATTTTTTCCGTCAAAAATAAAACTCTTTAAGCGATTGCTATTATTATTTCTGTCAAAAATAAAAACTATTTGAGGAGTTTTATTTTTTTTTTTTTAAAGAACATTTGTTCCGTAAGCCGAGCATAAAGAAGATTTCCAGTCGCGTCGGCCTTTTACTCAGTACTTTCAATTTGAAAGACCATATTCGGCAATGTTGTCTTCCACTTGATCTTCCCAACTAATTCGTGGCCATCACCTTCTGCCTGAACCATCAGTAGGTTCGATTATTGTATGCCATTGGAGCTGGTGCATCTTCGGCCCATATATCTTCTGGAGAATTTTTCTCTCAAACACTCCAAGAGCTGCCTCATCTGTTTGCGCTAGTATCCGTGCTTACGATCTATACAACAGCACGGGTATTATCAGCGTCTTGTAGAGTTTGTTTGGTCTGGTGAGAGGTGGCATTGTTTCTGAATTCCTTACTTAGATCATAGTGTCATCTGTTGGCCAACACTATTTTCCCCAGAATTTCAATCCTTGTTCGGTATTTAAAGGCTCCGAGACGTGCTTTCCTACTTGAATTGCTGACATGGTACCAGTTAAAGTTTTCCTGCATAGCCGTATTAATTTTGCAGGAATGTAAAACACTGACATGACTTTAAACACCTCTAAGCGGATAGGTAGCTGTCGAATGTGGCTTTATAGTCGATGAATAGGTGGAATGCGTCGATGTGTTTTTCGTAAGTCTTTTTCAGGATTTGTCGCAGATGGGAAATCTGATCAATGTTGGATTTTCCAGACCTGAAGCCGCATTGGTATGGTATAATAATGTTATTGACCTTTGGCTTCAGTCGTTCACACAGCACGCTAACATCCGAGTTCATACATATATTCGAAACTTAGCACAAGTAATTCTAGACTTAATTCAGAACGCTATGCCGAAATTCATGCAAATCAAATGATTTTCAGGGACTTTGATGCACCATTTACCTTAAATCAGGAAACTATATATGGGAGCTATATATTACAATATCAACCGATTTTCACGAAACTTAGCACACGTCATTTTAAAATTAATACAGTAGGGAACTTTGGTGCACCATTTATATTAAATCGGACAAAAATATATATGGGAGCTATATGTAAATCTGAACCAATTTTCCCAAATATGGTTCGTCCTTGGGCCAAATGAATGATCTGTGCCAAATTTTATCCAAGTCGAATCAAAAAATGCGACCTGTACTTTGTTTACAATTTGACATCAACAGACGGACGGACATGCATAAATCGACTCAGAAAGTTATTCTATACATATTCATAAAAGGAACCATAGGTCTATCTCGATTCCTTTTACCTGTTACAAACATATGCACAAAAACATAATACCCTGTAGCACAGTGTGGTGAAGGGTATAAAAATTGATGCGGAACCAATATATCCTGATTTTATAAAATTTTAGGGCCACACAAATTTATAATACCCTAACAAGATAGTTGTGTAGGGTGTAACCGTTATATCTTGGCTATACTAAATAGACGGACAGGCATAAATCGACATAGATTTTTTTCTGATCAAGAATATTACTCTAATGAGGGTATAAACATATTGAAATTACATTTGACATATCTGAAGTCGTCATGAAGCACATTGTCGAGTCCCTATACAAGAATCAATTTAAAATTTCGAACTGTGGGTATCGATTGACTGAAAATATTGCTGCTGTAGTGCGAAGTATTGAAGAAGACCCGGGATTGTACCGTTATTTGAAATTCGATATCCCGTAAACTTATATTAAATCGCATTTCTATGATTTTCATAGAGTATTAGCGAACCCAAGTGCAATTGTTGAGAAGCTTCTCCCTATTAAATATTTGACTATTTTGCATGGTTTATAGTCCGGCGACGTTATTACACCTTCCTTTTTATACCCTACACAACTATGTTGTCAGGGTATTATAGCTTTGTGCAGACCCAAAAGTTTGTAACGCCGCGAAATATTGGTCCTAGATCCACCTTTAAGTATACCGATCGTCATATCTCGACTAGCTGAGTCGATCTAGACATGTGTGTCCGTCCGTCCGTCTGTCCATTATAATTTGTAAACACGATACAGGCCACAGTTATGGACCAATCTTCACGAAATTTTGCATGTAGGATGTGTTCTTGCCAAAGAAGACCCCTATTGTTTTTGGAAAATATCGGTTAATATTTAGGGGATGAAATGGACCAAATACTACATTTTTGTCGGTTTTTCTGGTCGCTCCAGAGGCCGCAACAATGGTCCGAACATCGTGAAATTTTGCATGGAGAAGCGGATCGGGCCAAAGAATAAGCATGCCTGTTTTGATAAAGATCGGTCAGTATTTAGCGGGTCAAATGACAAATGACAAATGACAAAATTTGTATTCTATGGCGTATAAATTTACCCCTGAAGGACATATACTAGAAGTTGATATTATATCCAAGAGGAGTGGTTGACGTTTAAATTGATACCAATTATATTGTTGTATGTGCTCGGATGTGGGAGTTACACCTAAATATTTACAGATATCTCCGTATTCGTATATTATTTAGTAACCCATTATCACTCTGGAGAGCGGAACTATGGCGCTGATCGCTTTGAAATGCTCCATGAGGTTCCAGTTATGGTCAAGGACAACGCCTATAATTTTCGGTGATTTTCGGTGATCAGATAATAA